CACACACACACACACACACACACACACACACACACACACACACTAAAAACTTAGAACATATCAATTCAGTTCAGATGTCTAAACTCAGACATAAGCGTAGTAGTTGTGGGTCAGTGGTCGCATGGTTCGCGGGGAACCTTATGGGCACCTGCCTGCTCCTGCAGCAGTTCTCTGTTGCTGCCTTCCAGCGTGTCTGTAAATCTTTCTGTCCTCAGATCCTGAAGAAGGAGAACAACAGACTGATGAACTACATGGGCCTCCAAGGCGACTCTTTTCCACATCAAATGCATTCTTCAGATCAAGGAGCTGGTAGGCAAAACCCAGGCCTTGTGTATGGAAACCCATATTCTGGTACGACAACTTTCCCACTCTATCTGGAAGGCCCTTGCCAACATCCTTTTCCCCCACTAATGTGTGTGCGCATAGTGTGTGTGTGTGTGTGCTGCTAATTAAAGCTAGCATTGTTAAGACTTGCTGGACAGAAGCTGAGGACCCAATAGAAAGAAAGATGGCAGGAAAAGAGTGTTAATTGAGAAATAAATCTGAATCCAGAAGACACAAATCAGCTCATTTGCCTAGAGGCAGCAGGCACAAATTGAGTCCCATGGCTACCTTCCAAATATAAATCAGAGAAATGTCTTTCTGTAGAAAATGCACACATACAAAGGAGAGGAAGCTAATTAAGTTTTGGAAATGGAAACGCTAGAGGCAGGTTGTGCCTCCCAGAAACCCATAGTTCCGGCAGCCCCCTGATGGCCCAGCCGAGGATAATGAACAAGGGTGTGCTCCACTGAGACCTATGGGCAGGAAATAGGAGGGATGTGAAGTAACTTGTCCCTTCCACGTGGGAGGCTGTCCCTGCTGTCTGCAAAGTTAATGCAAGTCCTCATTTGGTTTTTTACCTGGTTTAAAGCAGTAACATCTTCTTTAAAATCAGAACCAGTTCTTTGCAAGAGGCAAGAACAAGTTTCGTCTTTGTTTTTAAATATTTGAACACGTTTATATTCTCTTCCAGCATGGCAGCCTCATGGGAAAGGAACAGGTGGAAGGCTGAGCCTAGGGAGCTGGCACCGTGGGTAAAGTGCTTGCTACGCAAGCTTGAGGACCCGAGCTCAGGTCCCCGCCCCACATAAAAAGTGACACAGTGGCATGTGCCTCCAATTCAAGCACAAGGAGGATAACAGATCAGAGCACCCCAAAGGTTGCTGGCCAGCCATTGCAGCCAGTCAGTGAGCCCAGGTTCAATGAGATAGAATTGTCTCAAAGAATGAGCTAGAACAGCTGGGGTTGAGCTGAGAGCACTTGCCTAGCACACAGGAAGACCCAAGATTCAGTCCCCAGGACTTGAGGGGGTGGGGCAACCAATAGAGGAAGACTACTGGCATGGACCTTTGCCATCCATGCACGTATGGGCGAGTATTGCACAGAGTGCATGCACGTACACACAAATACAAAGTGGGAGGCCATGCTAGATGCCATAACAGTGAGACTGTGTCAAACAAAAAATAATGATAAGAGTGATGAGGGGCTGAGAATGTAGCTCAGTTCATACAGTGCTTTCCTAGGATGCTCCAAGACCTGGCTTCGATTCCTAGCACCTTAGAAACTGGGCCTAGTGCCGCATGCCTATAATCCTAGGACTAGTATGGTGGAGGCAGAAGGATTGGATATCGAGGGTCGTCCTCAGGTTACATAGTGAGGTCAAGGCTCGCCCGGGCTTTGGGAGACTCCATCTCAAAATAATAACAACATTGAGCTGAACTTGTTGGCTCATGCCTGTCATCCCAACATTGGGAGGCTGAGGCTGGGGGATTGCTGTCAGCCTGAGCCACAGAATGAGATCCTGTCTCAAAATTAAAACAAGAAAAACAAATAAATAAAAATTATAGGAAGATTTTCCCTAACTGACTTTCTGGCTGAGCAATGGGGGGTGGGGACCAATGGAGTCATCTGTATCTTCAAACCAGTCAGCTGGGCTGATGAGACAAACCATGTGGAAGGAGCTCCTTCCACGTGTTGTCACAGTAACGATGATGATGGATATATAAGGCACCTCCAGGTCACTGTTGATGCTTCCCCTTGCCCTGGGCCACTTAGCACCCCAGTGACCACTGAGCTGTCTTCCCCCTGCCCTGGGCCACTTAGGACCCCAGTGACCACTGAGCTGTCTTCCCCCTGCCCTGGGCCACTTAGGACCCCAGTGACCACTGAGCTGTCTTCCCCCTGCCCTGGGCCGCTTAGCACCCAGTGACCACTGAGCTGTCTTCCCCCTGCTCTCCTTGAGGACCTGCCTAGCAATCACCAGAGGCTGGGCTGGAGAGAGGGCTGAGTGAGTAAAGTGCTTTTGTGAGTGTGAGTCCTCACAACCACATAAAAGCTAGGTGCTCTAGCACACCTCTGTAACCCCAGTGCTCCTTCAGTGAGACAGGAGGCAGGACAGGAAAAGCCCCAGAGGCCCATGGCCCAGCTAGCCTGGGCAAACAATAAGGACCCTGCCTCAGACAAAGCAGACTAGGACCTACACCTGAGACTGTTCTTTGACCTTCATGTGTGTCACACACACACACACACACACACACACACACACACACACACACACACACACACACACACGAGATAAATGCAAAGCAACAGATCTGACAAAACAGGGGCCTGACAGGCACATCCTGCTGCAGACGTTTTTGATGGTGAGTACCCTCCAAAGGTAACAACAGCTGGGCATGGTGGAGTGCTCTTTTAATCCCAGCACTTGGAGGCACACGTAGATCTCTGTGCCTAGTGAAAGAGGGCACAGTGAAGGTCACAGAACACGTCTACTAGACCACAGCTGGTGTTCAGGCATGCTAGGTTTTTCATTGAATAAAATCCTTTTTATTCCCCTCAGGTATCCAAGAAAGTTCTGCTCCCAGCCCGGTAAGTATTTGGTTCATGAGATTGTTGTTCACATATAAAATCCCTGAGAAATCCCCAGTCTTGCTCCAAATCATGGGAGAACCAGGGAGAGATGGGTGCATTTTGATAGCTGCAGGCAGGGGTCAGCTGGCTGGGCCCAGGGCTGGGGTAGCCCGCTGAGGTGAGGAGAAGGAATCGGCTTTCCATCCGCATTGCTCACGGTGGTCTCCTGCAAATTGAGTTGGCAGGTGATGGGGAAGAGATGTGGCCTGGTCAGCTAACCAAACAAAGCCTGCCCAGTACTCCTTCCAGGCAAGAGCAGTGTTGACTGTTTTGGCAATATTAGGCCCTTTCAGTCCCAGGGTGAGAGGAAACCCCAGACATCCTCTCCATATGTGAGTGTGTTCTATTTCCTGAGCACCTTTCTTGTGCTGATTATGCTAGGCACTGAGAATACAGTGGAAAGCCAGATAGAGGGACATGTCTGTGATGCAAAGCTCACGTTGGGACGTGACCTCTCTTCTTCCAGCTTGGCATGAAGAAGTGCCTCATCTGTTCATCAGACTTTGGTGATGGAGTCTGTGATCACATCTTGGAGCAGCAGCAAATGCAGACCCATTTCTTGAATTGTCCAATTTGTGACGAAGCCTTCCCGGCGAGAGAGAAGCAGATCTTTGAAGACCATGTGTTCTGCCACTCTCTCTGAGTGTCCCCGCCTGCATCAGGTCTCACAGTGTAGAACACAGTCTCTACTGTAAGCTCTCCAAGCAGAGAAGCCTGTCTAAATCATTTGGGGTTCACTTAGAGCTGCTGCCCGCAAAGGGTGACTGTGGCCGCTGTAGGGTGGTGTTGACAGGGCTGCGGCTGCCCTGTCCACGTCACATAGCTGCAGCTCCAGCCTGCCACCTGCAGTGCCCTTTGGTCCTCAGACTCCAGTGCAGAACCTGCTGGTCCCAGCAGCCACCTGACACCAAGGCATTGTCTTCCAAGTTGTCCCACTGCGGTCACAGCCAGGCCTTGAGCATTTGTGCCCCATTCTCAGCCCTGACCCCGAGGGTGGGAACAGGATGGAAGTGGAGAATTTCTTTATCTTCCTCAGTCCTTTCTTCAACCAATGGCCTCAGATTACCCCAAAAAGGCACAGCAGAGAACTCAGATTCCAAAGATTTATCAGCTTCCAAAAGGAGCAACCTTTGTTTTTGAAAACAGGGCCTGACTCTAGCCCTGGCTGGCCTGGAACTCTCTATGTAGAAGAGATCTGTGTACGTGTGCCCCCAGAGTGCTGGCATCAAAGGCATGCACCACCATGCCTGGTGAGAAGTGTCTTATTCTTCACCTACAAAAAGCCTTATTTCTAGCAGAGTGTGATGATATGTATCTGTATTCCAGCAGGTGACAGGTTGAGACAGGAGGGTTATGAGTTCAAAGCCTCTTGGACTACATTGTGAGGCTTTCTCTCAGGAAAAATGGGGAGGGGGCAGGGAAAAGGCTTCTTTCTATCTAGATACTTCTGATTGGCACTTTCTGATCATTTCTTTACATACAACATGGATTATTATGTCATATATATGAAGAGATTTTTTTTTCTGGCTGACCTGGAATTCACTGTGGAGCCCAGGCTGGCCTGGAACTCAGCAATCCTGCTGCGTCACCTTAGTGCTGAGCCTACGGGCCTGAGCCACTGCTCCCTGTCCTGAGTCTGTTGGTGACAACTGGGAATGGGTAGGAGGTGTATGGGCTTGCAACTTTCTCAAGAGTTACTTGTTTGTATGAATCTAAGACTAATGAGACAATGTTAATCTCTTCACTGTTGGAAATAAATTACTCTTTTTAAGGACATGTATCTTTTTGTTTTTGTTTTTCAAGATAGGGTTTCTCTGGGTAGTCCTGGCTATCCTAGAACTCACTCTATAGACCAGGCTGGCCTCAAACTCAGAGATCCCCCTGCATCTGCCTCCCGAGTGCTGGGATTAAAGGTGTGCGCCACCACTGCCCGCCCGGCTTGTTTTATTTTTTAAAGGGGGAAGGGCTGGAGAGAGAGCTCCATGATTAAGAGGCACTCCCTGCTCTTTCGAGGACTCGAACTCAGTTCCCAGCCCCTCATAACCATCTTAAACTCCAGCCCCACGGGATCTGGCACCCTCCCCCAGCCTCTGTGGGCTTGTGCACACACAGACACATAAATGAATAAAAACTCTTAAACATTTTTATAAAGATTTTCTATTTTTATTTGATGTGCATTGGTGTTTTGCCATGGGTGTCGGGAACCCTGGAACTAGAGCTACAGACAGTTGTGAGCTGCCGTGTGGGTGCTGGGAATTGAACCTGGGTCCTCTGGAAGAGCAGCCAGTGCTCTTAACCACTGAGCCATCTCTCCAGCCCCCTCTTAGACATTTTTTAAAGGGGACAGTGAGATGCCTCAGTGGGTAAGGACACCGCCAAGCAGGCGACCTGAATTCCACCCCTGGAACCCACATGGTGGGAGGAGAGAACTGACTCCCAAGCTGTTCTCTGACTTCCACATGAACACACACTAAACAAGCAATATGTTAAAACAGAACTTAACAAGAAGAAGACATTCCATTTATGATCTTGTATTTTAAGTTTGAGGATTAGGCAAAAGGGTCTGAGAACGCACACTCACCAATGATAGATACCACCTCCCGGTCAACGGAAGAGTGTCCTGCTTACACTGAGTGAGATGCTCCGCAATGGAGCCTCGGCTTGAGAACTCGGGCCCTGCCTACGCACGGTGACTTTCTATCTGTGCATTTTAAAGCAGTGTGGATTTTGCATGCTTTATGAAGTTCAAAGCCTTCTGTCCAAATCTGCCCATTTGAACTGTTACGAAAGTAATTCTGCTCTCTCTTCTGTGGAGGGCCAAACTGACAGGGCTCCTAGGTATCAAACAGTGGGTCACTATAGCGACTTACAAAAACTTTGAATACAGGATGTCATTCATAAGGTGAAGGAAGCTACAATTCTCTCCTGATGGGGCGGGCTGTCCTCATGTGACTGGAGAACATGTCCAAACCCTTTAAGTTTTTTATTGTGTGACAATTTCATACATGTATACAGTGTATTTTGATTAAATTCCCCCCCCTTCCCTTCCCTCCAATCCTGCCCCGCCCCGACTCCACCCCAGCAACCACCCCCCCCCCAATTTCATGTGCTCTTGTTTTCAACCCTCTGAGCCCATCAGGGCTACTCGTGTGGGTTGGGACCGTCTACCAGCACGACAGCCTCCGCTTCCCTGTGCAGCAGCCATTCTGACATTGTGGGACTTCACTGCCATCGACACTTCACACCGCAGACCCAAATGGAAAGGTAGAATGGTGATTTTTGTGCCAGGCTCTGTTCCCGGCTATCTTCGGCCCCATGTGGTCTGTGGACCATAGATTGGACAAGCCGGCTAGACCGCTACCCTCGGCTGCTTGCCTTGGTTTCCCCATGATAAAATGAAAACGAACCAGTACTGCTCCTTCTGTGTCATCCCGTCACTAGGAGAACTTCCGCACCCGTGAGCCTTTTGTCCCCCCGGAGGACCAGATGCCACGTGAACACCACTCCACAATGGAGACCTGGCAAATGGAAATGCCATTTTTTCCCAACGTGCCTCCCCCACCCCCGTGGATTGCTGTGCCTCCCCGGACGGTTCTCGGAAGAGCTGCAGTTTATTTTGTACTAGTCAGCTCTTAATTAAGCACTTGAGTGGAGAGAGGCAGTGGCGCGCATAATCCAAAATCAGTGGATGCCATTTTCTGGTGAATTACCCACCTCTTTGCTCCTGCTGCCCCGAGGGTTCCCAAGACCATCGGAGGCGGCAGCAGCAGGCGCCTTCCACTGCTGCAGGAAAAACAGTTGAGGTGTTAATGAGCCTTTTTGCTGGGTGTAAAACAAAGCGTCCTTAACCACTGTTCATTATCTCCAGCTGCTCTTACCAAGGCAGAGAAGGGGAAATTATGCCCCAGGCGGCTCTGAGTGGTAAGAGAGACAATCATTCTTAAATAATCCACTGCCCACTTGCCTTCTCCATCCCCTGGGCACCCACGGATTTCATAGTTGTGAGATACTTGCAAAATTATAGGAAGATCTGTAAGCAAATAGCAGCTTTATCCAAACTGGATTTCTGAAGTTTTGTAGTTAAATGTGGCAACAGGTTTTCTTTCTTTCTTTGCTTTTTCTATCGCTGAAATCTCTCTGCCTTAGTGGGATTACTTGATGACTTGGGAAAAGTCACATCCGAGTGGGAAGAGAAAACTAACCTTAGCCTGGAGCACTGCAGAGGCTGAGGCAGGAGGATTGCAGTCTGAGCTACATCATAAGGCCTTATCCCAAAAAAGCAAGGGCTAGGAGTGTAACTGAGTGGTAAGACTGTGTGTATAGCATGTAAGTGAACTTTTTGTTTGATCCCCAGCACCACCAAGAGAAAATAAAAGCGAGTGTGAAATCACAAAAGGTACAGTTAGCAAACGTTCGGTAGCGCAGGTCCTTAGCAATAGCTACAGCTTAGCGTTTTCTTTGTCTTGATAAAAATTGAAATAAAATGTTCAAATTCTGTTGTTCCGTGATTTGGTCTGCAGCGATTCACCAAGGCTGTAGTTTGCACTAAGCTAAGCATATGGCGACTTTGTCTCCTAGCAACAAGTATGGATGAGAAGACTAGCCAGGGCTAAGAGATGAACTGTTAGAATAAAACAGATGGACTTTGGTAAGGATGAAACGCAGAGACTCTCACCTGGTTACCTCCTTGCCTGGGTTACCAGCAACAGTAGTACATAAGCTCAGGAACATGTCCTCCCTAGCTGATCTCACAAATACTCAGATGTTTATGCATTCATGAAATGTATTGTTTATCAAAATGTTTGGAATAAGCAGATCTCTAGAAACCATATTGACTAAAAGAGATCCCCTGGTTCTGGAGAAACGGGAGTGATAGCAGGCGAGGAGTTTGTGGTCGGGGAAGAAAATGGTAAGCCGAGCATGTAGCACACTGCTGTAGTCCCAGCACTTGGGAAGCTGGGACAGGACTGCCAGAGTTTTGAGGCCAGTTTAGGTTAAACAGTGAGCACCAGGCCGGCCAGAGCTACACAGCAAGACCCTGTTGCAGAAACCAGAGGAAGAGGGGAGGAGAGAGGAGCACATTGATTGGGGAAGAGGTTATACAATTCTAAATCAACCAGAAGAAGTACTGGACTCCATTTGGAAGATTTAATTTACGTGTATGAATGCTTTGCTTTTGTGTATATCTGTGCACTACATGCAAACCTGGTCCCCTCGGAGGTCAGAAGAGGGTGTCGGATCCCTGAAACTGAAGTTACAGAGTTATGAGCCACCACGTGAAGCTGGGAGGCAAACGTGGGTCTCTACAAGAGCAGCAAGTGCTCTTAACTGCTGAACCATCTCTCTAGTCCTAAATTACACTTTATTGGTTTGGGTTTTTTTTTTTTTTTTTTTTTTTTTTTTTTTTTTTTTTTTTTTTTTTTTGTTTTGTTTTGTTTTGGTTTTGGTTTTTTGAGACAGGGTTTCTCTGTGTAGCTTTGTGCCTTTCCTGGAACTCACTTGGTAGTCCAGGCTGGCCTCAAACTCACAGAGATCCACCTGGCTCTGCCTCTGCCGAGTGCTGGGATTAAAGGCGTGTGCCACCACCGCCTGGCCTAAATTACACTTTAAACTGATGTGTTTTGCATTGTGTTGATCATATCAAGTCATGTTTTCAAAAGTTAAAAAATAAATAAATAAATAAATAAATAAATAAATAAATAAATAAATAAATAAATAAATAAAAGGCCGGGTGGTGGTGGCGCACACCTTTAATCCCAGCACTCGGGAGGCAGAGCCAGGTGGATCTTTGTGAGTTCGAGGCCAGCCTGGTCTACAGAGTGAGATCCAGGACAGACACCAAAACTACACAGAGAAACCCTGTCTGGAAAAAATGAAAAAAAAAAAAAAAAAACTTGCTAAGTCTACAGATTGGCTCATGGTGGATGCTTCAGTCCCACCTGGTCCCAAGGTCCAGCAGCTGCTCATAAAATAACACTCAGAGGCTTAATATTAATTGCAAACTGGGGGCCTATGGCTCCGGCACATGATTAAGTAGCTCTTATGACTTAATTCAACCCATTCCTATTATTCTATGTCTTGCCACGTGGCTTCACGGCTCACAGGTTCTTTCACATCCTGCTTCCCCAGGTGACGCCTGGCAGCAGTTCCCCAGTCTCCTCTCTTCTCCTGTCTCTCCAGTGGGAATGGACCACCTAACCTTATTCTGCCTTGCCATTGGCCAAACAGCTTTATGTATCAACCAACCAGAGCAACACATATTCACAGTGTACAGAGAGACATCCCACAGCAGAGAACACTGGGCTCAGGAACTTGGGTAAATTTTGTTTCTCTCGGTGCTAAATTGAGTGCTTCCCATACCTTGGGCTGGTGACAGCAGCCTTAGCTGGGGAGAAATCTAGATGGAGGGGGTCAACGCAGTCAGTGGTGGCCACCATCTGGCCAGCAGCATGAGTGGTTTCTGGGGGGGAATTTCTATTCTGTGGAGATGGATTTACCCAATAAAATTGGGGGAGAGTCCACTGCCTGCAAATCCCAGGTAATCACATTAAGAGATCCAGTCTGCTCCGCCTAATGTTATTGCTTTCTCCCTGTAGAAAGAAAGGATATGACCCCCCCCCAGGGGACTAAGTACGTTGTCTACCCAGTCAATCAACAGTTATTGAGCACCCACAGTGTGCACAGCTAGTATCAGGCCAGGATTTAAAAAGATAAAACAAGTCCTTGCCCTCAGGGAGCCACAAAATTAATGAAGACATTCTCTGTGCCCTCTAG